AAATTAATTTTAATTAAAATCAAGGAAAAAGTATTGCCAGGTAGAGAAGAAATATTTTTATTCCAGATGAAATAATGCCCCCCTTTTCTTCAACAAGTGTTTGAACTTGTTGAAATGATGTTCCGTTCTCGAGAATTTCCAGAATAAATACTCCCGAGTGAGTACAATGTATATACTGTCTTATACTACTACATATTATACTACTAATATTTCAGCTTAATTTGAAATACCTACATGTGACAATTACAAACCTTTTGCAGGTAGTAGTATAAAACAAATAATAGCATGATTTGTACGTGATATTTGGCATAAATACCACTTGTGATATTTCAAAATTGTCTCAAATTTCACTCGCCTAACGGCTCGTGAAATTACGTAGAACAATTTTGAAATAATTATCACTCGTGGTATTTATGCCAAATATCACTGCAAATCATGCTATTACCTATACTAATTAGTTGAGAAAATTTTCCCTTTGTGCTCTGAAACTGTAAAATCTAGGGTGCCCAGCATATGATTTGTATGAAAAATCTGAGATTTTCTGGTCGCCTGAGGACAAAAGTTAGGCGCCAGGGGCCACCAGGCTCTGCTAAAGCACAGCCCTGTATTGCGACTTAAAGATTAAGTGATTGCCAACAAGTCTTTAATCAACAGTACAAATAGTCAGTGGCAAACAAAATTTAACATTATTTCAGTGATAGAGTTATTACTTTGACCTAACAACTCACAGGAAATTCCACATCAGAGCCACAGCTGCAAGGACAGCAAGGTCCATTGATCGTCATAATGTGCTGACGTTGCGCATCTTGCACTTCTAACTTTGCTTTCCACAACGTCCACCTGATTTAAACAAATAAATAGATTAATTAATTAAAATGGTGAGCCTCAATATCTACATGCAATTTATTCTCCAGACTGATCAAAATATGTTTTCCTAAATGACTGGCCAGCCAGGGTAAAAAATATTGGCCACAAAAACCACCTCCTTTCATGCGAGAACCACAAGACCGTAACATTCATGATTGATTACTGGTAATGAACCATAATCAGGCTAATGCTCCCCCCCAAAGCAAAAAAAAAAAAAAATTTGCAGCCTCAAAAAAGGAGGACCCAAATGCATGTGTAACAGCAAGTATCACTAATGATGGGATCCAGATCTATGGGTTTAAAAAGCTTTGGGCAAATTTCAAGAAACTGCATGTTGGCAATCAGGGCGCAAAGAAAATCATTTTTACAGCTTGCCATTCGGGCAAGCTAAAGCTAGCATTTACTAGCCCAGACATCATTTCAACTAGCCCTAAAAACTTTTTGACTAGTGGAATTGATTTCACAGTTCTTCTGTTCATCGAATTCCTCAAAAAACATCACTTGCCCGTGGGGCAAGTTGAAAACAGAATTCACTAGCCCGATAGCAAAATCCACTAGCCCCGAGCTATCGCACACTACTTTCTTTGCACGCTGGCAATGACGAATAATTATTCCTTTGTTTGTAACATCATGCCACAACAGCCGAAATTTATTTCTTTCAAAGTCTGAAGAGTTATAGGATAATTATAGTCTGTCAACTTCCTGAAGCTCAATTCTAAAATACAGTTCTTTATACTAGCATTACTCACTTCAATTAATTTTTAGTACCTCTTGTAATTTTAAATACCAGACTAGATCTTGGCCTATGGGAACACACTTATGTATTGTGAAACTCACACACCAGAAATTTTTATGATATGTTGCAAGGTAACTTTATTGTAATCTGGTCGCTACACAATCAATATAACTGAAATTTTTCAGGTGTTCACAGTTTTTTGAGTTTACTGTAAGGATCTCAGTTAAAATAGCTCACTTTTGTTCCACATATCCAATGACTGTCCCGGGTGGGGACTGGACTTCTATTTCCTGAAGACAGCAAGGACAACAGCAGCACTGGCACCGGAGGGGCCGGGACAAGTGTATGACTTCTCTTTGCATGTTGTCTAAAATTTTCATCTCAAATGGACGACCAGGGCCACAACATTGCCGAGTACAGCAGTCGGTGTCTGAAGATACATAAGTATAATTATTTTATGTAAGCATATCTTATGTCAATATAATTGCTACAGCTGTAAAGAGTTCTTAAAAAAACAACAAACAAAACATGACATTAAGTAGCCTGGAACCGGGCTCCGCAGAGGGAGAAAAAGGCAAAAAACGGGGTCAAACAGGAAAACTATCGGCGAGCGAAGCGAGACAAATAGTATCCAATGCTGATTTTTGCTCCTTCTTCCCACAATGCAGAGCCTGGTCCCAAGCTAGACATTAATATATTGCTTGACTTATTCAACATACCTTCAGCAGCAAAGTAGACTTGTTGACCCATGGAATTACATATCTTGTACTTGTTGTTGGTCTCAAATCCCACAAAAGCTTTAAATATAGAAAAAGGTCATAAATTATGCTAAGTAAAATTCAAGCTAAAAGAATAAACTTGTCCTCCATGTCTTTTTACTGGTTTCCCCTTTGTTTTACACTGTGAGCAGAGGCTACATTTTCAGGGTATGAGCTGTCATGCGAAAAGTAAGAAAGGCTCATTTTTCTCCTGGCGATAGATTTTGATCTTTATTTGAACAGAAAACCAAAAGTTTCAAAAATATATTATTTTACACAGCCATAAGCGTGCAAAGAAAGTAGTGTCCGATAGCCCTATGTGTTATAAATTAAATCTGTTGCCGATAACAACGCATCCCCTAAATTCCCTAAGGGTATTTTTGCATTCGAGCGCTATGTTTTAAAATTCAGTTTTGAGATAGCAGTTGAGATGAACAGAAAAATTCAGATTTAGAAACCGAAGACCCGGAGACAATTCACGCTAGTGTAAGTAGTTTTTTCTAAGAGTTTTTCATCCTTTGAGTGAATTTCTCATCAGGATATTTGGGTTTTTCCTTTTTCAGCAAATCATTCTATTAATCCTCAAAATGTAGAAGGGAAAAGAGGCGAGCCCAATTACGACGCGTGAATGTTAATTAACTTGAATTGTTACAATACTGAGACACACTGAGAATCAAATGAATCTTGAAGAACAGTGAAATGACGACAACACCATGGTTAGTGGATAATGCTACCAGGCTAAGTGAATTCGGTTCTGAACTTGCCCAATGGGCAAGTGAAGCTTTTTTGGGGGGAATTCAAATTACAGATGAACTTTAAGCAGAGAGTTCTGCTCATCAGCAATTTTGTTCCAGCTAGTTAGAATGACTTTTGGGCTATTTCTTTTGCTGGCTGACTTTCTTTGCATCATGAGTCATGTACAGGTATATAATTATATAATGTGGTCTACATTTTCCTTGGTTTGAATTTTATTTTCCTTTGTTTTTGGGTATAATAATGTGTGTGATAAACTAGTTTGAAACAAGGAAAAATTAAAATTATACCAAGGATAAAACTGAACCACAGCATGTATATGACTAAGCATAAACTACAAACTTCTGTAAGTTGTTTAGGTACAGTTAGAAGAATACACAGACAACGTACCTTCTAAAAGCTCAATTTGCTGTTGCACAAGCACTTGATCAATGGCAGTTAAATACTCCAGTCCAGGAGGACAACCCATTGGTGCCTGAGGAGGTGGCATCCAATTCATTTGACCAGGAACACCTGCAAGAGTCATTGCCCGAATAACATCTTTTGAACAGCAAAGATCGACTTACAGAATGTAATCTGGCAGAAAGTGTGGGCCTTTTGGTGCTTTTTTTCCCTCATAAAAAATTGTCATAGCCAAGAAGATGGGGTAGTTTCATAACCTCCAGTAACCTGCCCTGGCTAATATGCCCATACATGTACTTTACAAGATGAAACACTTCTTGCTTTCCTTGTATATTTTTTTATGGAGAGGTATTGAGTTTCTTAATATCTACCTAAAAAATAACTTGAGTTTACCGGTTTTACGTACATATCACCATTTCTTTGTTGTAGTCAGGACCATTCAGTAGACCAAGCATGGTCAACTTAAAACCGTCAAGTCTCTATCTTTAAGTTACCAAATACTGATCGAAATAATTTCTTACAAAGCTATTAAATTTGTAGGCCAGTGGAGAAATGGCACGATTTGCCACAAAGAGACCCTTTTTGTCACACATAAATATGTAGCTCAACATGTTACCAAATTTCCCAGGCACAATATTAGTCATAAAAGGCATGATTGATTTTCATTAACTCTTTTGTTCTTAATTTTTCATTCGCACTTATTTTCACTCTCTTTCAAGTGGCCTTAAGGTGGAAACCTGAAGCATGGTCATTTTGATACAAGTTGTTTTGATATGAACTCAAGCCATGAAACAGCTTAACAATCCTAATCACTTTCAAGTATTGTTTGCATTCTGACAAGAAAAATATTTGGTGTGAACATTCCTTGTTCTTTTAGCCAAGTATGTGAAACTACTTTAACCCTTTAAGTCCCAATATCCACATACAAATTCTCCAAACTGGTCTCCATACATTTCCTTTAAGAATGAGTTAAGAGAATTTGATAAAAGATCAAGGTATTTTCTCTTTGGTAATCATTTTATTAATTCTCATAACCTAAACTCCTAACAATGTATGGACATTATTAGGAGAATATTGATGCTGGTCACCATTGGAACTTAAAGGGTTAAACCTTGACTGAATCATCTTCTATCAAAAAGACTTGGTATGTGTAAGTATCCATTTTATCATTTTCTGAAAAATTCATGACAATTACCCAGACCAGCCAACCCCCAAAAGGCAAAATTGAAAATATGTGAGACTCTGAACCTAGAGCTGGGAAAAGTAGTGACAAATGGGTACTACCGAAACAGGTAGACTGTTTTTTCGCAGACGTACGTAACAGTTGCCATTAGCGACAAAGGTGATCGTTTTTGGTCACGTGCCTAAGAGATGTTAACTCCAAACGCAAACGCACGTGATAACATTCCTTCGCATTTCTTTGCCCGCGCTTTGGCTGTGTATCGTCGCTTATCCGCTTTCGTTCAATACTAAAGTAATACAACATGATCCAGCTAAAAGTATTCTACAATATTTCTTTTCCGGAAGATCGATGCGAACTAATTACAGCGCACGAAAGTGAGGTGTCTGCCTTCGATGATCTCATGCGAATCGTGAGGAACAAATTAGAGTGTTTACAATTTATTCCTGATGAAGAATTGCGGATTCAGTACAAGGACGATGAGGGTACTTTCGTCAACTTGCGGCTTGGAGATTCGCTTCACGATGCCTTAAGATGTGCCCAACCAGTGTCAGGTACAACATTCAGAAGGCTAAAAATCAAAATCCAGTGGCAGCCAAAATCAACTCCAGAAATTATATCCATCAAGCGACGTGAAATTACTGAACGTGAGATAATCGGCGAAACTGGTGTCACAGGTGCAGAATCGAAAAAGCGGCTGTTATTTAATTTGGAAAAATCTAATTTTTCAACGGCTTCAGTTGCTGGAATGAATGCGCTAGGCTCTAGTGAATGTTTCTCCACGGACAACGAGTTTACCAGCAAGTCGCCACCACATAAACAACAACGAATTAACGCGTGGCGCGATAAATCTGCAAACAGTCGCGAAGAAATCGCAACACTAACAGTCAATTCTTCTGATCAATATAAATCGCCGTTAGATCTTTTAATACAAGACAAGCAGGTTGAGGTGGAGAAAGAAAGCCAAAAAGTAACCGAGCTCCAGCGGGAACTGGAAAGACTCTCAGCTGATTACGGAAAACATCCAGGTATATCGATTATACTAGACCAGCGTGTACAAATTGCCACCGCAGAGAGGGACATAACAGAGTTAACTGCCCCTATAAAGGACGTCCATGCACTTCTTCGAGATTCTGTGGTGATTTGAACAAGCATAAGGACGAAAAGGATGCTGTCTCCGCCGCAGCAAATAGGCTTCAATCCGCAAAGAAATGCCTTCAAAAGTTAAAAAACGATCTGGCTATGAAATCGGGTCTGAAAATTCAAACTACGAATTCTTTTTCGAGTGTCATGCGAACACGTTTAATCAGTGAATGTATCGTTATCTCACTTCTCAGGGTTTTGAGAACTGGCGTCAAATTAACCTGGATCTGAAAAAGCTTGAAGCTCATTTCAAAGGAAAAATTCCGGGAAATGATGTTAGCTTAATCGCAGCACTGGACGAATACAACAGGAGGACAAACCTGGCCCGCCCTCAAAGTGAAATCGGTCTCGGCGGCAACCCGGTACGCTGTGGGAATTAAAAGGGATTAAATGGCCCTCAATCCCCAGCGTTCCTGAATTAAGTTCTAGTACTACATTTAATGCAACGTATAGCCACGCAAAGGAACTTCAGCCAACAACTATGCAAGAAGAACAGGAACAACTTAAAACTGCACTAATTGAAAGTCGCATGAACACTATTTATCAACCCACACCAGCCTCTAATGATGCAATAACTTTTACAGCTGTAGAAGAAAATGAGAAACGTCCGCTTTCAGATGCTGCAAGTGCTCTAATGGATTTATCTGCATGTAAGGACAGTCAAGAACACTACTATTTCTAGTAATATTTGGGGAAGGTTTTACGTTTCATTGATCACTGATGTTTACAATTACTACTGAGCTGGTATAGCTCGTACGTTTACAGTTTAAAACCGGGCCATAACCTGTAGGATCGTGGTTACAACTGTTTAGAAAAATATATTTTTTTTGGCTGTACATGAGTTGAAATTCAGGAATAACTAAATTATATTTTCAGCCGTGAGCAAAGCAACAACAGGCGTGTACGCAGGGCTATATTTTAATTTATTTAGCAGACTGAAATGTCTTCGAAAAGTTTCCTTTATTGTTGCGTTCAATTAACGTTAACAATGAATTAACTGTTAGCAAGTTCTTTTTACTCCTTGTTAACACATGAACAGTTTATTTCTTTAACAATTCACTGTAAATTTGTTGAGTTACAAAAGGAAGTTGTAAAAACCAAACATGTCGTCAGTAGTAATTGAATCCAGTGCTTCATAAACCGCGACATGAACGTTTTCGCGCAATATCGGTCCAAATTCTTCCTTCCTCAAGACAGTTTTAAGTTTATTAAAAACAAATTCAGCTGCATTGAACTCGGGTGATAGTGACGGAGTGTAAATAATAGATGCCCCTATCTGCATAAGCCATCTTTGCAAAATATGTCCACTTTCGAACCGATGAGTGGCGCAATTATCCATAACAATGTAGTCGCCGAATTCTATAGCCGGATTGCCATTTGAATTTGAAACTTGGCCTGCTTCTCCAAAAAAGTTTAAAAACTGAATGGAGTTTGAAGCTCCTTCTACCGTATTTGCGTACAGTACACCTTCCAAACCACACAGCAGGTTAAGTGTAATGTTTGCTCCCTTCTTGTTGCCGCGCGTAATTTCGATTGCTGGTGTTCCTTTGAGGGAATTGCCATATACAGGATTTCCTATTCCACAATGAATTCCAGCTTCATCGAAGAACTTAATCTTTTCAGGCGGCAAGGAACTCACAGTGTCAATAAACTGTTGACAATAAACAAGGTTCTGTGGAGTGAATTTTTCTGAAGAGGGTTTTGCCATTCGCTTTCTTGTAAAAGGTCCTTCGGGTATGTTATTTCTAACGATGTTTCCAATCGCTGCAACAGATGTCCCGCCATCCAAAGTACAATACGTATCGAGATCTTCTTTGATTGATCTGTAGGTTTTGGAAGGTTTTTCCTTCTTTAGAAAGTATATCATTTCCACATCCTCTGGCTTGAGATGACAAGGGTTTCCAGATTTCTTTTTCGCGGACGAATGATCCCCAGTTTCGCAGAACGTTTTCCATAACTTTGAAACGAACTGACCCGTTACTCGGTACCGTTCAGCAACTTCCTTGAACTGCCCTCCAAAATACCCTGATCCTGGATCCCCACCTTCAGCTATAATCGAATCGATTATTACACATCTCAAGCTATCGTCTACGCCTTTACCACGGATATAAGACCTTCCTTGTTTGTTTATGGAAAAGCCCGCCATCGTTTAATTCTCAGCAAAGTGAAGGAATGCGATGACGTGCACTTACATTTGAGGCGTCAGGGATAGATCACGTGGGCTTGATTCAAATATGTTTCTCTGCAGAGGCAACTGTTTCGCGCGTCTGCGAAAAAACAGTCTACCTGTTTCGGTAGTACTCACGTTTTGTACAGAACGTCAAACTCGCAAAACCCACGTTCTCGACGCGACCTGGTGACACCAGGACAACGGCTTGAGCATGCGCAACATGTCTCCTCTTTGAAAATTTACTTCCTGTCGCGTCTTACAGCCGTCGCGTCTCGGATCTTAAAGTCCCTATTACGTGACAAATCACGCTATGATTTGATTTTGAAAATTAACGAAACTGCATAACTTCAGCTGGCCGGATAGACTTCTTCCATCAAGAATCTAAAGTAAAGGTAAGCGTCTTATTTACCGAGAACAGATAAAACGGTAAATGACTAATTGTTTTTGTTGTGCGTCAAACGTTTTTAAACAGCCTGATTGTTACAATAATTTATGCACCGCGGTGAAATTCACTCTGAAATTGCGGAAAGAACTTAAAATTCTACGTTGCCTTTCTTGTACATGTTTTGTATCCCGGGGTAGTGATATTATTTTCATTACTTAGAGAGCTTGGATCAACTTCTGATCTAGAGAATTCTATTAAAAACATTGTTTACTGTTCCGTGCAGGTAGTTACAAGACGACGGCGCCCGCCAGTTGATCGTGGTAATCAGTAACATGCATGATAATCCCTGTTNATAAACACTCGAAAAGTATGAATATTCAGAATATTAAGGAGCCCTACATAATTTTGTAAACATTAAATGCATTATGTATATTCGTAGCCAGCTATTTCAAGTTATAAACAATCGAAAAGTAGAGCATTTCAATGTGTGACTTGTCGTTTGGTTTTTGCTGTTTTAGTGCGCTGAATTGTCATAAACGATTACGATTCAACACTTGCACAGATTTAAGCTTAATTGATGCCGACTGATATCAAACCTACAAATAGCCTGAGTTAACATTATACAGTAGGCTATGCTGCTAGCTATACGTTCTAGTGTGTTGAATTATCCTGTAGATACGGTAGACTAAACTGTTGAATCGCCTGTAGCTAAAGGGCAGACAATTTTCAACTCTTCAGGAGTACACCGACTAAATGTCCTTTTCTAGCTAAAAGCCCTGAAATCAAAAGCGTGAAATCAGTGACCACACTGTACGTGCGAGTTCGCCAGTCTTGGCGATTTCAGTTTTTCCTTTTAACAAGTCGTTTAGTTTGCGAGTTAAGCATAAGATAACTGCAGGAATACCTGGCTGTTGCTGGACAGGATGTTGATACTGAGCCATTGATGTTGTTTACCGAAGTTGACGTTGAGCGTGTTCGAGCGTGTTGTCGCGCCGAAACCTTCAGAAACCTCGTACCCAGTCCTTCTATCCTGCCACGCAGACGTTCTTAGCAGGGGTTCGTCACGCGTTCCTGCCCCACGAACGTCTCCTGAACCGAATAGCCTGCGTAGCTGGCGGTATTGTGTACTAGTCGAGTGAGATTTGGCGGCCGAACCGTTGTAATAAATATAGTCGAGTAAGATTTGACGGGGGAGCCGTCACGAGCGGTGAAGCCGCGAGAACTGCCTCGTCCCTACTCCCTTTTTTTGGAACACGGCTCCGCCGCCAAAACTTTAATCTCGCACCCACACAATACCGCCAGCTACGCAGGCTAGAACCGAAAGATATGGTGATCACAATCGGCGCTGTTGAAGTCAAAGTGTTGACAAGCCAAACACATACGTACAAGCTCCGTAGAGTGTGATAGGTGACCAAAGATTTTTGCTCCGGGCGAGAATCTAGGAGAGAAACGTTGGGTTTTTGAATACCGTATTTATTCGAATAAGCGCCCAACCTCGAATTAGCGCCCACCTCGAATAAGCGCCCATCCTAAAGGCAGAAAAAGTTAATAAGCGCCCAGCCTCGAATAAGCGCCCACCCCCTCC